TTACTTAAATCAATAAGTTTTCATTAATATTTAAGTCGAATGTTAAAATGAACCTCTATAATGTTTAGTCATGTCATCATAAATTAGCCATTATGTACTCCGTTTCCTGTTTTTTTTTCACCAGCAAAATATTTTATAAAATATAAATAGGTATTTAATTACTTAAGTATCTAACTATTTATATTTGATTACCATTATGTAAAAAATGAATTTCGATGAAACTGTCCATGTCATTGAATATTTATTTCTAAAAGTTATAAATCGAAAATACAAATTCTCGATCTGATTCGTGGGGAAAATTGTTTAAGTTTAATCGGTAGATACACCTCTTCAGAGATTATTGGGATTTTGTACATTTTGAATTAAAATCCAACTAAAAGTATTTTTTAATCATTTTCCATTATCATGTTTAAAATTTTGTTAATTTTTGAAGTTATTCAGATTCGTGCACTAAACTAGTTTTTTTTTTTTAATTTTTAACCCCTTTTTAACAATCATTTTTCGATACTCCTTGTAAGTAAAATGTACGTCACTATCTAACACACACATTGGGTGCGTTTGGCAGAAAAAAGCGCTTGCAAGCGCTTGTAAGCAAAATGGCGATCGTAAGCGGTGAGCGCTGTTAAATCGTAAATAGCTATTTTCCTCCAGGACACGATGTTAGTTTTAACCGGGGAATCTAACCTAATTTTAATATATGTTTGTAAAGTATTCATATTAAAAACTTACCAATCATGAGTTTTTAATAGCATATATATGTTTATTCATGTCATTATATTACTTAAAACTAATATTGCACAAAACAACTTATAAACTCTACTTCAAAACAAACAAATTAAATAAGCAAAATGGCGGATTGTGTCAGCGCTACTGAAGTAGCAATCGTATCCTGGCCGAAAACTATTTTAGCGCTTATAAGCGCTTGCTAGCGCTTTTTTCTGCCAAACGCACCCAATGAAAAATAAAAATTGGTCACGCATTTTTGGGGTATCAGGTCGTCTTTACGCCAGTATATTCTAGGTATTTTAGGTATTTAGGTTTGCTATTAAAATATAACATTCGTAATTTAAACATTCATGAGCCCAGGAGCGTAGAAGTTTTAGTTTTTTTTTTTTTTTTTTTTTTTATAGAAGAGGGGGCAAACGAGCATGTGGCTCACCTGATGTTAAGTGACTACCGCCGCCCATGATCAACCGCAACACCAGGGGAATTGCAGGTGCGTTGCCGGCCCTTTAGAAAGGAGTAAGCTCTTTTCTTGAAGGTCCCCAGGTCGTATCGGTCCGGAAAAATCACCGGTGGTAAATTATTCCACAGAGAGGTTGTACGCGGAAGAAAACTCCTTTTGAAACGTACAGTGGTGGACCGCCAAGCATCCAGATGGTGTGGATGGTATCGGGACGTTTGCCGTGTAGTGCGTTCACGAAATTTGGCGGCTGGGATTAATCCGAACAATTCCTCGGAGCACTCCCCGTGATAGATGCGATAAAATACGCAAAGAGATGCAACATCTCTTCGCAGCGCCAGTGAATCGAGCCGATCGGAAAGCACTCGGTCGTCAACGATTCGAGCCGCTCTGCGCTGGATGCGGTCAAGTGGAAGGAGCTGGTACTGGGGAGCCCCAGCCCAGAGATGGGAACAGTATTCCATGAGCGGCCGAACCTGCGCCTTGTAAAGTTGCAGGCGGTGTGCCGGCATGAAATACTGTCCCGCTCTGCTGAGCACGCCAAGCTTTTTAGAGGCCAATTTGGCCTTCCCTTCCAAGTGACCACGAAACTGCACGTCACTCGATATGTCGACGCCGAGGATTCCGATACTGGCTGAGGCAACAAGGGGAGTGCCTTGAAACTGAGGGGATACGACAAAGGGGTTCTTTTTAGCGGTTAACGCGCAAACTTGTGTCTTCTGGGGGTTAAACTGGACTAGATTTAGTCGCCCCCAATCCGAGACTCTGTCCAGCAGAGACTCGACTTCAGACACAAGTTTGTCCCGGCACTCAGAGACGTTTTCCCGAGAAATATTGGCTCGGCCGGTGTAAAGAGCATCACCAGTGCTGTCATCTGCATAGCAATGAATGCTACGGGTTTGCAACATATCATTGATATGCAGAAGAAACAGCGTTGGCGATAGCACGCAGCCCTGTGGAACACCAGCATTAATAAGCTTGCAATCGGAGCTTGCACCGTCTACAACGACCTTGATGCTCCGATCTGCAAGAAAACTGGTGATCCAATCGCACAATTTCTCGGGAAGCCCATAGGAAGGGAGCTTCGAAAGAAGCGCTTTGTGCCAAACCCGATCGAAGGCCTTCGCAATGTCCAAACTAACGGCCAATGCCTCCCCCTTGGACTCTACTGCCTCCGCCCATCTGTGAGTTAGGTAGACCAGAAGATCACCAGCTGACCTACCACGGCGAAAACCGTATTGGCGGTCACTAATCAGCTGGTGATCCTCAAGGTACCTCATGAGCTGGCAGTTTACAATGGACTCCATTGTTTTGGAGAACAAGGAGGTGATGGCGATAGGCCGGTAGTTGGACGGGTCTGAGCGGTCGCCTTTTTTAGGGATCGGGTGGACGAAAGCCGTCTTCCATGATTTTGGGACTACGCCTAGGGAGTAGGAGTACCGGAAAAGACGCGTTAAAACCGGTGCCAACTCTGGAGCACACGTCCTCAGCACAATTGGGGGGATTCCATCAGGCCCACTCGACTTATGGATGTCCAGGGAGAGGAGTGCTTTGCGAACCGAGCGCTGAGTGAACTGCACTTCCGGCATGGAGCACTCACACCGCGGGATGGTCGGCGGCGTACTCCCCCGTCATCGAGAGTCGAGTTAGACGCAAAGAAAGAGCCTAGAAGATCGGCTTTCTCCTTTGCGGTGTGGGCCAGTGAGTCGTCCTCCCTGTGCAGAGATGGAAGAGATGGCTGACAGAAATTCCCCTGGACAGCCTTGGCGAGAGACCAGAATGCACGGGTTCCAGAAGGAAGACGAACTAGTCTCTCGCCAATTCTGCCTATGTGCTCTGACTTTGCCTTGGCAATGACTCTTTTGAAGGACCTAGAGGCGGAATTATACTTCTTTTTTAGAGCGCTGGTGTTTACATCCCTGGACGCTGATGCGTCAGCCCAGGCTCGGTAGCACTCCTGCTTATAGCATGATGCTATTTTACAGGAGCGACCAAACCATGGCTGAGATTTGCCTCCAATGGGCACCACAGAGGAAGGAATAAAAAGTTCCATACCCTGAAGTACCACATCAGCGACAGAATCCGCAACAACGTTGGGATCATCCGGCGAGAAGCAAACCCGCCCCCAAGGGTAGGATGCAAAGAAAGACCGCATCCCATCCCAATCGGCTGACCTATAGTGCCAAACACGGCGGCAGCCTGCAGAATGCAACCGCGATTTCAGCGTGAGTGGCACCACACTCCGGACAAGACAATGGTCCGAGGAGCCTAAAGGGGCGTCAACGGAAATCTGATATCCGTCCGGGTGAGAGGTCAGCAGAAGGTCCAACAGGGAAGGTGCATGATCCTCCACATCTGGAATCCGCGTAGGCGAAGTAACCAGTTGTGTCAGACCATATGCCAAGGCAAAATCATGAACAGATCTCCCCGCATGATCGGTTAAACGTGAACCGAGCCATTCGGCGTGATGGGCGTTAAAGTCGCCGAGGATCACGATCTCTGCCGAGGGGATCTGCTGTAGCAACGAATCTGCAGCCATTTGGACGTGGTCGAAGAGTCGGTCTGTTTCGGCATTACCGCTATGGGACCTATAGAGGCACCCGTAGACGCGCGGATGGTCGTCGCTGTCTACGCGTAGCCAAAGGATGGACAGGTCCGAACCTTCAAGTCTGCCGAGGCGTCGAGAACAGATGTCCTCTCTGACGTAAACGCAAACTCCAGCCCGAGGCACAAAGGAGTGTTCCAGTTTGTACCCCGGGCAGGAGAGATACGAGACATCAGCCGGAGAGGACACCTGCGTCTCGGTCAGAAAGAGCAGAGCCGGCCTCGCCGTCTCGAGATGGTAGTGGACGGCGTTTAGGTTAGAGTGAAGTCCCCTGATATTGCAGAAATTCACGGACAGCGTGGCAGGGGTCGCCTTGGTCTTGTTGCTCCGTTTGCCCCGAGCAGTTTTAGTCTTGAGCGGAATATTGCCCCCCCCCCAGAATACGCGGGGCAGCCTGAGCACCCACGCTCAGAAGTGGAGAAACATGGTCGTGGATGCTCAGCGAGGGATTCTCCAGGGGTGCTGGTCCCCTCCGGGGGTAGTCTATCATTTAATTCCGCTCCCATGTTGAGGGGGGGGGGGGGGGATTTGGGCCTCCGGCTACCTGCACTCACCAGACGAAACGCGGAAGCAGAGCTTCCACTTCACGCCGGTATTCTGTGAGGTCGTGGTACCACCCCGGTTTGAGCCGGCCCATACGTGCGACAGCAAAGCTGCCGCGTGGCTCTACCACTGTTAAAAGTGTGCCCTATATATTGCCTGCCTAGCTAAAATATATCGATGTAAGATGTAGATGTACGAAATGTGCTTTCATTTTTGTACTTAACAATTTTTATAGGTTCTTTATTATCCAATAATCTTTTTCAATCATGGTATAAATGTAGAATTATTTTTAGTGCCTTAACATGGTCCCAACTCTCCAACAACTTTCCTATAAGTATTCTAGTTTTCTAATATAGACGGGCAAACGACCAAGCGGCTCACTTGATAACATTATATTAAATAATGAGTATCTGTAAATAAGTAGTTGTGTATCTGATTAAAGAGTATATAATCACTACTCACTACCTACGATATCTGATCGACAAAATTTGTTACTTAGCAACCTATTAATAGCAATTATTGACGTTTTGCCAATACACGTACGTTTTACTCTACTCTCAAATAAATATATAATAATTTACGTACTCAAATTAACTGCATTTTTAAGGTAGATAAATATTTTTAGGAACAAAATAAAAAAAATTAACAGTTATTTGCCAAATTTCAAACATGGAGCTTACTCCGGCTACTATGGAAAAGTTGGTTGAATTATTAAAAGAACCTGAACCTGACGTGTTGCAAGGGGAGGACGTGACTTTTTCAGGTAAAGTTAAAACTGATTAGAATTTAAGAAGCATAATATTATATAAGTAATATTAGATTTCCTAATGTCAAACCTATGTCGATAGTTGTTGGGAGCACTAAGCTCAAAGTTGATGACAAGTATGTTTACCTGAGACAAATTGTCCAACTAGGTAAGTCCAACTTCGACCGAGAGGTAATCGACGGATTCAACTCAGCTGGGTAGCGTCCGGGATATTACGACTCTCGATGTGATGTGATTCTCGTCAGGTATATCTGAAAACTTGAAAATGAGATTTTACAACCGGTGCGTGTTGTCAGTGATGACTTAGGTATCTGAGGCGTGGTTCTTTACTGCTGGCTGTATGAGGAAGCTCAAGGTCGCTCAGGAAGTTAAGGAGAGGGTTATGCTCGGGGTTTCTCTGCGTGATAAACTTAGAAATGAGGATATTCTCTCTATATCCTCATTTCTAAGTTATTTCTATATATATCTACTGAATGGAATGGATTATTAAGCTGAAGTGGCAATGGGCCGGCCATATAGCTCGAAGAACCGACAACCGATGGGGAAAAATGGTTCTCGAGTGGCAGCCACGTACCGGTAGGCTAAGTAGACTGGTAAGACATGCAGAAATTCGATGGATGCAGGTGACTCAGGACTATGCTTAGTGGCATTCTTTGGGGGGAGGCCTATGTTCAGCAATGGACTTGCGAAGGGCTGTAATGAATGAATATTTTTTTATATATATGTTTGATCAAATATGATGTGATTATGAATATTGCAAATCACTCGAAATGTTGATAAAACGAATAAGGTAAAAAAGGTAAGGTAAGGTAAAACATCCGTGGTATGAGGGGTGTGGCACACGGTGCAGTTTAATTCGATGTCACAATCAAAATTTTTTGTTCACTGAATTTTTTAATTGTGGTTATATATAAGCATTGAAGATTTTTTTTGGATTTGTTGTTATATAGTTTGTCGTATTATCTCTAAATTAGTTACTTTATCTTATTATGATTTTTTATATTTACGCGAACACTATATATTGACTAAAACTACTTTAACGGTTTTTATCGCATTTAATTTACTTGGTTTTTAATTCCCGACGTTTCGGGTACTTTCCAGCACCCATGGTCTCGGCACTGAGGTGACTAACGTCCCCGATGTCAGTGTCCCGGAGTACCTTCAGCTTTTTAATTAATATTTATGGTCCGATCTATGCAGAATGAATTTACTGTGGCTTGAATTCTTGCAGTGGTATGTATATCCCACTAGATGGTAAGGCAGTTGTAAAGCGCTTTGATGTAGCTTAACAAAACCCTACTCACTCTTGCCTTGAATATAACCACTTTATAATCGGATGTAATGACAGATCTTGGAAAACTATTCCACTCCCTTATAGTACGCATTAGGAACAACGAAGCAAACCGTTCGGTTCCGTAGCGTGGTATGTCGGCAGCAAAGAAGTGAAGACCGGCTGAGTGTCTGGTGGTAACGTTATCGAATTTTTCTTTTGGTTTTGTAAAAGACAATTACAACCGGCCTTGAGTAAATTATAATTCATGTTATACGCTACTCACATTTTCATGGTTTAGCCCTTCAAGTAACCTAATACTGATTCAGGCGATGGGTTAAAAACTCCGTCGGGTAATAATTTTGAAAAAACACATATTGTAGGTTTTCAATCTGAAGTATATTCTGATTGTCCCCTTTTTTACTTGCATCTTAGCCTCCTTAGAACTAATTGTATAATATACGCTAAATGAGATAAGGGTATTCAAGGAGAAAAGTTTGTGTATGTTAGTGTGTACTCTTGAGGCTATTTAATAACTTTTGTACAGTTCATATAACAGTATTCAGAACTAGTCATCTTGTTCAAAATTGGTGTAAAGGACATCAGCCTATCATAATATTGCTATGTACGTCTAATGGTTTTAAGGCTATGAAATAACTTCGAATAGAGACAAAGAACCATCTGTTACTACAAATATTACAAAAGCTCCAAGAACTATAGAGGAATACGAAGAACAAGAGGCCATAGAAATTGAAAAATTAGGTGGCGTTGGATCCGGTGATAGAAAGACGCCTGAATATAGTATGAATTATCAGCAGTCAGTGACTGCAGAGGATGTTTTCTTACAGGTAATTTGTTTGCTTTAACCACTTATCTCTCTACTATATTAAAATCAATAACTATTTTCAACTAAAAGTTTTAATACCCTTCTTGAAAAATCAAATTTCAAAATTTAACGTATCTCCTCACCTTATTTTTTTATAGGATAGGGTGACGTACGTGCACACAGTCCACCTGATGGTAACTTTTTGCTGTGGCCTATAGACATCTATATCTATCCTCAACTACGAATAAAAATGCAGATGCGTTATGACCCATGAGGACTAAGATGAAATGCCTCGTTTTCCAGTAAAAAGCGTCACTCATTCTTTATACATGACCAAACCACCGAAACATTCCTTTCTTATTACTGGTCACAGCATCATCTTGCAAAACACATTCTTCTTTTATCACAAAATTTCTTACCCTGTCACTCAGATTCAGTCCTAACATACTCCTTAGCACCGCATTTCTAGTGCATTTATTCTACTCTCGTCCTTCTTTCGCCACACCCAACTTTCACTACCATACGATAAAGTAAGGACTAACACAGCAATGTGAATTGCCATATGTGAATTTTTAAAAACATTTTGACTTTTCACAACAGAGTGTAGAGCTCCGTTTACTTTATTTCCTGCGTTCAATCGTCGTTCTATATCATTTTTCTTATCATATCTCCCATCCCTGCTAATATACAAACTCATCCACTTGCTCGATCAACTCCCCTTCTATTCTTATTTCAAATATCGTTTTACTTTCTTCTCTTTCAAAAACCATAACTTTCATCTTACTTGCGTTCACTTTTATACCCCTTTCTTTTAATGACCTATTCATTAATGTAACCATCATTTGCAACTCGGCCACCGAAGACGCAAAAAATACCTTGATCATCGGCGTACAAAAGGTATTAAAAATTTGACGGTTAACTCACCCATTCTAAATCCACATTCTTCGACGTTTACTTCAACTTTTCAACTTCAAATTTTCCAAACAATTGTCCATAAATAGGTTGAACAGCCACGGGAAAGCTGTATATATACAACTCCGTTTGACACCTTTATGGATGCCAAACCAGTCCGAGTAGACCCCGTTGAGCACTAGAGTCCCTATAAAGAGACTTTAATGCCTGTATCAACCCAGTGCTCCAACCAAATGAATTCGGTGCTTGCCATAACACATCCCTGTCCACTCTGTCATAAGCCTTTTCAAGTCCATGAACGCACAAAAAAATTTTAGTTTTTGCCAAAAAACTTCTCCGTGATTATGCGCATAGAAAAGATTGTTTCTTGCTTGAATATCATAATTATAAACTACAGGTCTATGTTGAATATTTTTATGTATTCTACATGAATAATATTAGACTGATTGATTATTTTATAAACAATTTACAGATTGGACCAAAAACACCAAGTTCAGCAAGCTGTGAGAATCTAATTGTAAAGATTAAGATGCTGGGGGATAAGAAGGAAAATATAGAGCTGTCTGTAGACACAAAAAGTGTTACAGTCAGCTCATCACAGTATTTTTTATATCTACACCTTCCTCATGAAATTAACCCTGATACATCTAAAGCCATTTGGGATAGCGCCGAAGAATCTTTGGTTCTTACTCTAAAGCTTGACAGAGAATTTGATTTTGTTAATTTTTAATATAATAAAATACACCTTTAAGTCTAATTTGTTTTAAATTACAGTATTGTCTGCAGATCACTTTTGATCTATACTAGTACGTAGAGGCAGCGTGAGAGTAAAATAATCCACTACCCTAATTAATCCCGTGGAGTGGGTAGTCGTAAAAAGCGATACAGAAATAATTAAACAGGTCAGCAGCGGGATTTCCTTGATAAAAATTGAAAATAACTAAAATACTGTGGTTCCCAACTCGCCTGCTAGCCAAGCGTGGCAACTATGGCGAAACCCCTTCTTTTGTCAGAAAATCTATGAGGAAGGCCTATGTTCAACAGTGAACTTTTGATATTCTGTAGTAAATTAATTAATAAATACACTACTCTACATACAATAGTTCCAGTAATTGAAAGTAATCACAATCCTAGAAGGTGTCAAGGCGCCAATTATAATATAATGGTTGACACATCAATGTTGCTTTTAATTGTATGAAGTGTAACATGGTAATATTTTAGTCTGTCGGAGTCTTGGTTATTTTTGTGATTATAACAGAGGATGGAATAAAATGGAGTTAAAATATTTATACGTGGTAGAGCCACGCAGCAGCTATATTATGGTTGTAGCACGAATGGGTCTTCTCGAACGGGAAAGGACTACGCTATCACAGAATACCAGGGTAAAATAGCAGCTTAATACTGCTGTGTTTCGTATGGTGAGTGTAGACATCCGGAGACTCTTTTTTACTGGAAACGAGGCATTCAATCTTAGTCCTCAGGGGTAACAACGCATCTGCGTTTTGATTTTTTAATCAAGGATAAATGTAGATGTCTATGGTCCACAGCATCCAATTGCCATCATGTGGATTGTGTGCTTATTATGTTTTCTTTTATATCATTTTACTAAAAAATTTATTTCAATCTTAGTTATCTCAATTATGAAATCTAAATTATTAAACCCAAGTTCTGGATAGACTTCTAAAAATTTCAAGTTGTTATGTAATGTATTAAATTTACTATCTGCAATAAGACCGACCATTGCATACTTCTTTTGTATATATAATTAGTAGTTTTTTATATGGTGTGCAATAAAAAATATTAAAAAAAATTAAATAAATAAATAAATTTAGATTATTGATAGGCCTTCGTGCGTGCAAGGTATTAAAATTAACTGCAGTGATGTTCATGCTTTTATTAATCATTAAAACTGCTGTACCTACCTCCAACAATTTCATTCACATAAATACTTAAATATTTTGAAAAGTGTTTAGTTGGAAAATGAACTCATAAATATAAGGAACTATGTACTGTAATCTCAATCACGGATGATTTTTTACTCGAGTATGGGTGGAACATAGTGTGTCCTTCAACATTTTATAAAACTGATATGTAATAAAGCAATGAAGAATCGGTTTGCAGCTAGCTAATGCGTGGTCAGCTTTAATTGCGGTCGCTATTCCTTTATTCCAGTTCATGCAGTCGTGAGATTCGGTAGTGAGTGGAAATACGAATATATTTATGTACACAGAAATATATTCAACGTTGACAATTCGCGGTAAAAGATTGTAATCCTATTTGTATTCAGGAACTGTACATATAAATGTGAGCTTATGGTTATATTTTGGAATTAGTTTAACAGGCATACAGTTTTCAATTTAAAGGTAAGCTTTAGTTTTCTGTATTCTGTCGAAATAACTTTATAAGATTATTTTACTCGTAAGTAGGTATACGAAATCAATAATATACGAAATTAATGTTCTTAATCACATTATCATTATTATTATGTTATTTATAAATAAACTTTAATTTCGTTTATTCTTGGATAAGTTTACCCATGAATATTAGTTTATTCATGGGTAAACTTATCCAAGAATAAACGAAATTAAAATAATTAATAATAACTCATAAATTTACGTAATTGTGTAAAAGTAAGTACTGTTAAAATTTAAAGTCTACAACTAAACGAAAATATTTAAATGATAAATACCAAGTTTAATGAGGATATCCGCATAGGAATCAAAGTAGTAACCAACATAGCCACTATCAGCTGAGATCAGCAAGTTGAAGTGGCAAAGGGCATGCCATATTATTGATCGAAGAACCGACAACCGATGGGGAAAAAAGTTTCTTACCAGTAAGTGAAGTATAGGGCGGCCAGCGGCAGGTCGAATCGAATCTAAGTCGATGGGTGCAGGTGACTTAGACTGAGTTGTGTGGCATTTCTTGGGGAGATTTACGATCAGCAGAGGACTTGTGAGTTCCTGTATTGATGATGATGATGAAGACATTGATATTTTTTGTTTACGAAAACGTTATTGTTTAACCTGGGGTAATAGCTTTATTTTTTTTGTAATTATTCTTACGTCTTTACGTCATCATTGTCAACATAATCAACATGATCATCATGCCCAGGTGTCCTCCAAAAAGTAACAAGCATGATCCTGATCATGAAAATTACATGCAGTTAAACAAAAACAAATGTGAAGTTAAATGTTCGCTTAGTTTTGCGAAGTAAAATGGGAAGCTTAAAAATATATACTTTGAGATATTTTGGGGCGCAAGTAAAATTCTTTTAAGCACCGTTCAAAAACGTAAATCATTATTTTGTGTTTAATTTTATTTATTCCCTTCCCAGAAAATACTTAGCGATTGCTGAGCTTCACTGTTTGTTCGAAATTAATAACTACATTTCAATAATATTTTACTCTGATATCACATAATGTGATCTGATACAGCACCATCTTCTAAATATTATACAAGATATAAGAATATTGCTAACAGCAAAAGAATACAGCATAGCGTAGTACATGCCAGTGAAATTAATTTTCACGACTGCGAGGCTTAATGGTTTTACCCCGCCCGTCTGCTACGTTATAGTTCCTGGGTTCGAATTTCAAATCTCGGCTGGAGTAAACTTTTTGGTGTACTATAATATCTTTTACGCCGTTAATGTTGTAACTTCCAATGATATTTGTTGCTGTGGTTATCATCGTCTAATCGGGCAGAAAAATCCTGTAGGCAAACTACTGGTTACCTTTACTTAGTGACTACAATCATGGGGTATAATGTATGTGTCTGGGAACTATTTCAACGAAGCTCTATTAGACTGCATTCGTGCAATTGAACATTGCAATACAAGCAAATCTATTCGCAATTCGTATCACGTTCGTAGGACCTCTAGATGAAATATCATGTGAGAAATTATGAATTTTTATTTGTTTATTTCTGTATATTTGAGTAAATAAAACATGAAATAACGGTGGCTTCTTGATAGCACAATCTCTTCTGTCACGGCGATTTCTCTAATATTGGAAAGTATCAGCCGTGTAGGGAATATGATAGTATATATAGAATATAGATATATAGAACTGTCGGTGCTTATATAGTGCTAACAATTTGTATTTTTATAGAAATCTCTCAGATTAAGGAAAATATTCCTAAGCAAGTAGGCTCTGCATTGATTGAAAACTCTTCTTAGAAATGAGAGAAGGCAAGTGGTACCGCTTTGGGTTTGTTTAGGATGTTTATCATTTTATTATTATACTTAATAAATTAATATACTTTACAGCCATGGCGCTTATGGCGGTTGTATTATTATGTTTACTCTGTCCAGTTAATTAGTAAAAAACCATCAAGTAGTGTTTTAAAAATAAAACTACAAACTAACTGTATGAAAACTTAATCAAAAGTTAATCGAATGATTTGAAATCGATATCATTATTTGCTGTCGAAATTTACGCGATAAATAACACTAGCTTTTTAACAATACCGATTCCGGTCTTCTTCCGATAACTGCCGTTTTTTTATAAAACTTAAGTGACAAAAGAACCTGAACATGGACACCTGCAGCCAACTTCACACAAAGAAGGTTTTTGAAAGACGACAAATGGATGATGGAAATCAAAGGAAAACAAACCTACTGCCTTGGGTCCGCTAGGGCATGTCTAAAACGGGCTCTTAACTTGACCGTATGCAGACAAGCTGAACGAGATAAAATTAGATGATGTAGACCCTTTTTACTGGATATGAGGCATTCTAGCCTCAGTTCTCAGGGGTGACAAAGCATCTGCATTTTGATTTTTAATCGAGAATGGATCTAGATGCCTACGGGCCACAGCATCCACTTACCATTAGTTGGGCTATCTGCTCGCTAGTCACCCTTATTCTACAAAAAAGCACGATCACCTAGCAGCTACTACCATTCCCACCAAGCAGATACCGGCACTCGCTGTTGATGGAATTCACGACATGCGCTGAATGACACAAGGGAAAGGAATAAAAATACTGCGTATCGACTTTGGTCTATACTATATACAGTATTTTTGCTATGATTTAGAACAATTACTTTCTGTTAGCAAAATATGACAGGTCGAGAACGATGGATACATTACGCGAACTTGAATGGCTACTACGTATTGTTATAAGTACCCTAATTGGTGCAAATTTTGCAGCAGGGAAGTCAACAAACATATTTATGAACATTGAGGAACAAATTGCAGATCCACACGCTAACAACCATACTGAGTGTGTGCGTGCGTTAGACTTCCACGTGTGATTGAATCAAACGGTGATTGAAAATTAACACATCAGATGAGACTATTTGGAAGAAATATTGACCATGACTTTTCCATATACCCTTAAAGAAGCAAATATCTGACTGCTGTGAGGATTGTTAGTCCATGATGGAAACTTATTTATAAAACAGCCTGAACCTTGACCTCAGACCCAGCATTTATCCTTGAATACAAAACAGGACTATTCAGCGAAATGAGAGATTACAAGTAAATTATTCTAGTAGGAATCAATAATATACATAGGTAGTGTTCACATTACCCTATTATATTAATTGTTATTACTAAAAGTCTATCTTTATTAGCTATATATACTATAGCATCAATAAATTATTTTATTGCAACGTAAACGATCATTTTGCACCATATAACGTATAATAGGTCGAAATCAATGTTATTTAACATGCCTAAGTTGTGCCTACAAATATAAAGTCACCTCAATTCACTATGCAGACCC